AGAATTGGATGCTTGAGGATTTTGTTCAGCTTGCATTTTAAAGTGGAACAGTTTGCACTTCCCAGACAAATATGTGAATTGGAATACAGTTATCCTTTGGCTTTTGCACTTATCCAGACTTTTGGGATACATTTCCCACCTCAAAGCATACCAGAATGCATTGTAGGTGTATTTTTGCAAAATTACTGTGCATTTTAAATGAAAGAGTCGCAAATGGGATCGGATGGGATTGGACAAATTTATGAATAAAGACATGCAAAAGTGAATCATCTATCCCTACCTCTGTGTTCACACACAGGTCCCATTTATGAAATGAAGTTTGTGTTGGCGGTCTTCCCAGTGGATGCCCCTTTAAAAAAAGGCTACCTTTCCCTTATTATTTTCCACAGGGCTGTTATATATTCATTTAAATTGAATTGCCATTGAAATTGCTGAAAAGGAGTGCATCTCTGGCATTATAAAATCCTGAATCTTGGAGGAAGACGGGAATAATTGCCCAAAATGCTGAATTAGTATGAACTTTGTGCAGATTAGGGATGCGGGTGGTGCTGTGGGTAAAACCTCAGTGCCTAGGACTTGCCGATCGCATGATCAGCGGTTCGAATCCCCGCGGTGGGGTGCGCTCCCGTCGTTCTGTCCCAGCGCCTGCCAACCTAGCAGTTCGAAAGCACCTCCGGGTGCAAGTAGATAAATAGGGACCGCTTACCAGCGGGAAGGTAAATGGCGTTCCGTGTGCTGCGCTGGCTCGCCAGATGCAGCTTGTCACGCTGGCCACGTGACCCGGAAGTGTCTGCGGACAGCGCTGGCTCCCGGCCTATAGAGTGAGATGAGCGCACAACCCTAGAGTCTGTCAAGACTGGCCCCTACGGGCAGGGGTACCTTTACCTTTACCTTGTGCAGATTAAATCCCTTTTGAAACTACTTCTTTAAAACAGAGAGACAGAGAGGGAGGGACGTATCTATCATAATCATATTCGTTTTTACATGTATCACTTCAAGTTATTTACCATATTTTTTGCTCTATAAGACTCACTTTTTCCCTCCTAAAAAGTAAGGGGAAATGTGTGTGCGTCTTATGGAGTGAATGCAGGCTGCACAGCTATCCCAGAAGCCAGAACAGCAAGAGGGATTGCTGCTTTCACTGCGCAGCAATCCCTCTTGGGGTTCTGGCTTCTGAGATTCCGAATATTTTTTTTCTTGTTTTCCTCCTCCAAAAACTAGGTGCATCTTGTGGTCTGGTGTGTCTTATAGAGCGAAAATACGGTAATCAATTTGAACACATTTTGTAGATTAAAAAAAACCAGAAAGAGTAGAATTTTGACTGGATTTGGACTGTTTCACAGATGGAGAGGGAAATGTTGGCATTTGGAGTTAAAATGCCCATCAGAAGTTGAACTTAATGTGGATTCCCTACTGGAGGAGCACACTTCCATATTTTCCATCTTCAAAGTATCACTGTGTATACATCCAGGGTAAAGTGTCCTCCAGCAAGCAGGGCATTTAGTGCACACTTCACGGTTCTGCTGATGCATTATAGTTCCTGCCCTGAGCAGCAGACTGGACTAGATGTTCCCTTTCTTCTCTGTCATTTTATGTGGAGCTCTTTGGAATAAGACCAATGGCTCAGCATCCTGCTTCTAGCAGTAGCCAGCTGGATGGTGGCATTAGCACTTGACACTGAATCTCTGTTGGAGGAGCACTTTACCCTGAATATAATCACACTGAGGCTCTGAATTTAAGAAAACAAGAAAGCTACACTTATTATAGGAAATGCATGCATGATAGGAAAGAGCCCTCATTCTATCCAAAGTAGGTAGATGTACCTTGAGCCATGCTTGCTGTTGCATCTCAGCAGGAGAGAAACAAACTGTTTCTCCTCTCCCCAGGTGAGAAGCAGGAAACAGGAAATGAGCCAAACACCTGAGGGAAGGTCAGAACAAGTCAGAGAGGACAGTCTAGGACAGGCTTCCTCAACCTTGGCCCTGCAGACTACAATTCCCATCATCCCTGACCACTGGTCCTGCTAGCTAGGGATCATGGGAGTTGTAGGCCAAAAACATCTGGCGGGCTGAGGTTGAGGAAGCCTGATCTAGGAAACATGGAGGTTCCTCTCTCTAGCTACTCCTTCTAGTGCAGACGCATCAGCCCCTGGTGCAAGCTAAGTTGCATCCCAACCCTTCCAACAAAAAAGCAACAGCTTTTGCATAGATATTTGGAAGTGGGAAGTTAGGCTTATTTTTTGCATTGTAGATTTAGGATAATTTGTCTGTAGAATGGAGACGAGGCTGCACAGGTGGCACTGTGGTCTAAACCACTGAGCCTCTCGGGCTTGCTGATTGTAAGGTCGGCAGTTCGAATCCGCGTGACGGGGTGAGTTCCTTTTGCTTTGTCCCAGCTCCTGCCAACCTAGCAGTTTGAAAGCACACCAGTGCAAGTAGATAAATTGGTACCACTGTGGTGGGAAGGTAAATGGCATTTCTGTGCGCTCTGGCTTCCATCACAGTGTCCCGTTGTGCCAGAAGTGGTTCAGTCATGCTGGCCACATGACCCGGAAAAACTGTCTGCAGACACATGCCGGCTCCTTCAGCCTGAAAGCGGAGATGAGTGCTGCACCTCAAAATCGACTGGACTTAACCGTCCAGGGGTCCTTTACCTACTCAGAGCAGACCCACTGAAGTTAATAATTGACTAACTTGGGTTCGTTCATTTAAGGTTTAACTAGTGGCAATGATTTTGTAGTGGCCTAGGTTCTTGTACTGAAAATATTCCAAAACAAGTGTTGGGAGTTTACAGTGAAGCAGTACTAGGCTGCCAGTGCAGACCTTCAAGTGACAAGAACCAGTGATTCAGTCATCCAGGGCACAAATGAGTGGCTAGACTTTTCTAACTTACTTCTGCTTCTCTGCTGCTCTAGACAGGGAAGGGTATAACAGAGCTGCCCAACATTCATTCAACAGTAATACAAATAGCAGAGGGCTTACCCTGGAAACCTGGAAGCAAATATAACATGACAAGAAGCAAACCAGTTTCATTTGTAAGTTAGCACAGGAATAGATTCAGCATTAACAAGGTTGAAGCATCATGGCACCATATTCCAAGATGCAAATCTGTTTTCTCAGATAGAACTACAAAGAATGAGTAAAAGTATGGTCTTAATGAGTGATTCCCAGCAACTGGTAGTCAGAAGCCCACTGCCTTTGGTCGTGGAGGTAGGACTAAGCCATCATAGATAGTAGCCTTTTTAAAAGCCTTCCAAACTGGTGGCCATTACTTTCACATGTGGGAGCAAGTTTCATAGTTTAACTACATACCGCATAAAGGAGTATTTCATTTGGTCTATCCTGAATTTTCCAACATTCAGTTTCATTGGATGTCCATGAGTTCTGGTGTTAGGAGAGGGAGAAAAACTTTCCTCCATCCACTATCTCCATGCTATGCATGGTTTCATAAACTTCTTACCTACCTCGGGTGTGTGTTCTCAAATATTATAAAGAACGTAAGCAGCGGCGGACTTTGGGCGTTCACATTTCAGCGGCACCCTGTATGATGCCAAAAATTGGTCTTCGTCCCCATCCCCCCACCTCTCTCCTTCCATTCGAAGTCATTGTTACAGCACCCTCTCAGCTTGGTGTGTCTATTGCACTTAATACTGCAATCCTATACACACATATCTGGGAGTAGGTCTCAGTAAACACAGCGGAGCTTGCTTCTAAGCAAACACGCCTAGGTCTGCATTGTCAGTAAAGTTGAAAACAATGAGTCAAATCAGTCATGCCTTAAGTCCCATCAAGTTCAACAGGAACTAAGTTCAGATCACTTGGTCTGCATCCAACCCAATCTTTTAAAAAAATCAATTATTTGTTTGTTTGTTTTTTAATTAAAGATTTTCTTGATTTACAAAAGTGTGTGGAATGTCTCTCTCTCATATTTTTCCCATGTAACATTTTTACAAATCAGTTTCATTCGGTGAAACATTAGGAAGAAAAGGGGGAAATTATTTGTAAAGTGTATTGTTTGAACTTTAGAGGATTATTTTTTAAACGATTATTGTTTAAAGGATACTTTTCAAGCATCATGAGGCCTGTGAAAACCTTGAACAGAACACTGGAAAGAAGAGCCCTGCTTAACACCTCTAACTGCACAGCTGGGTAAAATATTATTTCCATGTTTTTTTCTTTCTTTCTAGCTCCAATAAACACCTAAGGTTGCGTCTGACTAAGTCATACGCAGAGGAGACCCACTGAAAGTGATTGTGTTAAGTCCATTGGGTTAAATGTATTTGTTTGAGTGTAAATAACTTGGATGCAGCCCTTAGAGACTGGCTTTTCAAAAGCAGAAACTTCAAGAAAGGACCTGAAACTTCTGTAAGAAGTGCAGGAACCCTCACCTGAAGTGATTGGCTCTTTTATTTCCATGGTACACAGAGGGAAAGAAGACATGCTATAAAGGTAACACTTAATAGCTGAATGAGGATTTAAACCCATGTCTCCCTAGTCCTAGTCTGACACCCTAACCACTACACCAAACTTCATTTTAAATCTCTGTAACCCACCGTGAGATCTTGTGGTGAAGCGTGTGTAAGAAATCAAAATAAATAATAAAAAAAATTTTTATTGCCCTTACTGTTTAGAATCGCATTCCCCCCCCCCCCTCACTGAGTGGCTTACATCTAACTATTAATAAATTGGCTAGGTGCAGGGATCTTTTAAAATACCTCAAAATCTGTCACACTCTGCACATGCTTTCTTGATCTGAAACAATCCAGTCCAGAATTCTCCCACTTGTATCTACCCTGAAAGCAAACTCCCCAAGCTGGAGCCTGGCACAATCATTCTGAGAATAGAAAGGTAAAAGGGTAATGTTTTCTCGCTGTCCTCCCTACACACAGAGATCCAAATGTACAGGTGAGACAATTTGGTGCCCTTCAACGACAAGAAACACCCTAAGTTGGGGACCTAATCTTCTCTGAGTTTTATTCTCAGTATGCCACTACACAGATGTCTATGCCACACGATGATTTATTTACTGGTTATACAATTTGTGAAGGCTGTGTATGAATACCATACATTTTTTTTATTTGCATTCCATTTTTTTTAAAAGGACAAACGTACACAAAAGCAGGGGGTCTAAAACCCCTTCCACTGTCATTACACTTTTATACAGTGCAGAATGAAACTTAAAATAGGTGTGCCACCGAACTGTACAGTCAGGCAAAAGGGGGGAGGGGGAGGAAATGACAAAAGCGTCCTTCATATTTATATTTTTATATATATAATATATAATTATATATAAAACATAGAGAAAATTGCTTTGCCATGCTGCTGCTTTTGACATTAACGATGGTTATTTCACACAGTCCCTACGGCAAATATTGCCAACACATTAACCACTTTAATACTGATTGACCAAGGCTGCTGTTGTGTTTTATTAAAATGTTGAATAAATAAAAGCGTGAGCCTTGTTAATCGTTTCCATTTTTAACCTTTATTTCTCAAAGTGCTTTTTCTTTGTAATTTGGTACTTTACTATTTAAAATAGGCTTGGGTACGGTCAAAAAGAAGTGGGGTGATTTCTACAGGATCGTGTGATTGAGCACCCAGCCCAACATCCTCAGTTCTACTGTTGCATTTCCTGTGTGTTTGTGTGTGTGTGTATCTGATCCTGTTTTTCAAATCCCCACCAACACCTGAAGGTAGAGAAGGCTTTGGAAACTCAACGCACAATTACGATCTAGGAAAGAAGATATGGGAAGAGCACCATCTCAGCACTCACTCAGATGTCTGGAGAGTCTGCCATTGCCCTGAATCAGAGGTCAAATAAACAATGAGCCATATGTATATTTCATGCTCAGTCCCTAAAATATAAGAAGAGAGGTTACAACTGGAAGCCAATTCTGGTTGCTGAATGAAGGACCCAGTGATGGACACCACATGAAAATGACTGTCGTTCACCATCGCTGTCTGCGTTATTTGTGCTGCTTTACTTTGTACAGCAGATCCCTGACCCTCAAATTTTAGAATCCATTTTCATTAATGATCATTTAAAATTGTAGAAAATTTGGGGGTAGGATATATTTTTAAAAAGCAGAGTTCATTTGAATCCTATTCCTTTTTTAAAGCGGGAGTGGGGAGGAAACCACAAAGTGGTTTTTGGAATTTTTACCAAATCACTGTTCTGAATGTACTGAGACCCAAGATGAAAGGACAATTGAGTACTTAGTGTTTTGACATTGTGCTTCACCTTCCCCTACAAAAAAAAAGCACACACAACGCATCTTTGCTCCTCTTCAAGGCTTCCTTGAGAACAGCGTGTTCTTCTCTGTAGATGTTTTGAATATTCATATACCTCATGAGCAACTATCAGTCTAGCTTCTGGGGAGGTTCTTTGGCTCCTAAAGGGGCTTGTAGAAGGAAGTTCCACAGTTCTATACAGTTTTCACTTGGATCTTTGGGGATTGGCTGCCCCTCCAAGAAAGCTCGGCTCCCCAGCCCTACTGTCACATCACGCAAGGTTTGATGTCTTGGTATGTAACTTGCTGATGGTAGTAAGAGCCGCTACCTCCTGAATGCATGGAAGATGACGCCATGGCGTTGATGGAGAACACAAATTCTTTCCGGTCACACATGCTTGGAGATTGAGAATGGTACCGGATTCCTGAAAGAAAAGCAGAGAGCAGATTTAAGTGACTGGGAAGAAGACAAGAGACAGAGAGGAGGGGGTAAAATATGTCACCCTGGAGATATGAAACTGCAGAATTAGAACCTTGATTATACTTTGCTTCAGCATGAATAGAAACTGTGGTCTGTCATCAGAGGAAACCCACTGGAATTCATTAACAGGATAGGAATAACTTAGGTCCATTGATGTCAAAGGTTCTACTCTGAGTAGAACTTAGTTGGTGACATCCCGGTGGTCTTGCGTTCCACTACAGGTGTCAATCAACAAAGGTTAAGTGACTATTTTGATAACATGTTCATTCCTTTAGGGTTATTCTGCATGCATGTTAAGCTTTAACATTGGTCGATTACAGTATTGGCTTTTACAGTAGGAACAGGAGTTACCCAAGCCATTTTACTGCCTGTGGCAAAGGACAAGACCATGGGTAGGCAAACTAAGGCCCAGGGGCCAGATCCGGCCCAATCGCCTTCTAAATCCGGCCCGCGGATGGTCCAGGAATCAGCATGTTTTTACATGAGTAGAATGTGTCCTTTTATTTAAAATGCATCTCTGGGTTATTTGTGGGGCCTGACTGGTGTTTTTACATGAGTAGAATGTGTGCTTTTATTTAAAATGCATCTCTGGGTTATTTGTAGGGCATAGGAATTTCATTCATCCCCCCCCCCGCAAAAAAATAGTCCGGCCCCCCACAAAGTCTGAGGGACAGTGGACCGGCCCCCTGCTGAAAAAGTTTGCTGACCCCTGGACAAGACTGTGCATTCGCCATGCTGTGCACAAAATCTGACTAGACTGGTAATGGAATCCTACCTTAGCACTGGCGATGGAGTAGAGTCCTCTGCACCCTAGTGCCGTACGCTAGCTTAGGGGCTCCAGGGCAGACCATATCCTAGCCACTTTCTGCCCCTCAGAATTTGCTGCCTGAGACTTTCTCTTTTTAGTCAAGAGAGCAGAGGCAGCTGCTTCATTCTGCCTCATAGAAGGAATACATAAGGAACACAGGAAGCTTTCTTCTACTGAGTTCATCTTGCCCATTGGTTCATCTTGCTCAGTACTGTCAACACTGTCTGGCAGTGGCAGTGGTTTTGGGCAGCAGTCTCTCAGCCCTACCTGGAAATGCTGGGCACTGAAGCTGGGAGCATCTGTGAGGCCGATGATCCATCACTGAGATGTGTGTGGCCCTTTCCCTGATGTAAGATGCCCAAAGAAGTCCAGGTCTGAGGCAGAGTAGCTGCCTCACATAGATCATGTCTGAGGTTCAGTTTTTTACATTTCCAACACAAAAGGGACATCATGTAAGAAAAATGAAATAGAATTCTCTTTTCTTTCTCTTTCTTTCTTTCTTTCTTTCTTTCTTTCTTTCTTTCCTCTTTTTCTTTTCTTTTTTTTTTTTTTTTTTGCTTTCCTCCCTTTTTCCTTTTTCCCTTCTTTCCTCCTCTTTTCCTTTTCAGAACAGATTTTAGAAGCATTTCTTTCACTCCAGTGTACTATAAAAGGATACTTTGTATTAGGTATGAACTTTTGTATGCCTTTGGGCAAGGATCAATAAATATCTATATTAACAGAAGACTGGAGAGCTACTGCCAGGTATGGTCAAGGATAATAAATGGGTAACAGAACCTGTGCAGCTTGCTATCCTCCACATACTGGGACTTACCACGTACTTCACAGCCTCTGTGTTGTGTTTTAGTTGCAAGCAGGGAGCAAAACCTGAAGATTTACTGAGCTTTCATTAGGCTGAAATTAGCTTGGGGGGGGGGGAGAGGCAGAGTGGGGAGAGGATGACGACTTCAGTAGGCCTGAGCTACGTAAGCCAGTGGTCTGACTCAGTAGAAGGGCAGATTCCAATGTGGCTGAGTTCCACTTCTGGCATGCGCGGGTGGAATTTTTGAACACATCTCCCCTTCATCCCTTGAACAGTAGAACCTCATGCCATATCACAAGCTGCTTCTGAAACTCTGTAGTAGTAGTTACAGCAACCTGCAAAGGCAACCTGCCATACAGAAGCTTCTCTTGGAGAAACACAATTCCACAGACTTGCTGCTTGTCTACAACTGGTTACACAATTCAAGTCTTGAGCCTCACTTTCTTCCACCTCAGTTTATGGTGACAATAGTCACCAGTCCACAAGATCTCCCCCTAGGAGGGGCTTCATCAACCCCTTGGAATCTGTTAGACCCAGCTAGGTGATGTTATGGACTCTGAACTCTGCCGTTCTTAATCAGAGGAAATTCCCACTTGATTGGAATGGGAATTTTGCCCATTCGCAAATAGCAGGATGGGATGGGACAGTCTGTTTCCTGGCTGGCCAAGGAAGGAGGACTGAGGGTTGGGCTTTTTTTTTCTTTTTGGTGCTTGTGTGTATAGATTTGGCTTTCTTGATAAAGCTGGAGGACTTGCTTTCATTCAAGCCAGAGGAAAAACAAGCCCTGGCTTTTAATTATTTCTAGGGTTAAATTACTACTGTACTCCAATGAAGACTTGCAATGAACATAAACAAAACCTATCAGGTTTTGGACCACAATCAGACATTTTATTAAAAGCAGATATTAACCTTGCTCCTTCTTCTGAAAAGGAACATACCTTTCTTCTACCCACCCATCCCCTTGCATGGCTGACACTACAGGATCAGGGCAGGCCTTTGCAGTAACTTGTGGGAAAAATTATCTATGGATCCACATCTGCTGATAGTATTTAAATATACTTATTTCATTGTAAAATCTAATCAGTCTGGAACATTGGTTCCTAATTAACAAATTTCATAGAACACTTCCTCACACAGTAACTGGATTACTCATATTTAGTGGTTAACAACTTGCAATGGATAGAATTAGCATTCCTCTCCCTTTCAGAATTGTAAACCCTTTCCGTTTTTAAAATAACAGCCCTATCTCTACCCATCTATAGAGCAGTTAACAACACGATATACAGACTGCATAATGGACTTATTTAAGTGATTTTTTAAAAAAAAAACACTTTTGCGCCTATATGACAATAGAATAATTTCTTAATTAATTGTTTGTCATTTTCATGGTGAGTTAACCAAGTAAAGAACTGACAAAAATTATTATTAGTAGTAGTAGTAGTAGTAGTCATTGCCTTTTTAAAATGTTGTTTTTTGCATGTCTTCTGTGGCTATCCCCTCCCCCTCCCCCCCATTTAAAAAGGGATTATTTGGTTTCCAAACTCATGTAGCAGAATGATATCCAGGATTTATAACTCCCTCATTTGTCCAGAATGTATTTTTTTTAAAATAAAATGCTCCTCGTCCCCTTTATGTTGCTAAAAAACCCCAGCAGGTTAAAGAAACAGTAGGAGACGTGAGTCTTTATATTTTGAAAGTGAGGTGGTTCCTATAGCTTGCTTTTTTAAAAATGTAAACCCCCACCCCTGGGCTGTAAAAAAATAAGCTTGAATTTCCTCCCAACTTTCCATAATTTTTCTCTTTTCGTCTCCATTATTTTCCACGCGCCTTTTTGCTCCCCTCTATTGCTACTAGTTGTCCTTAACTCTGCCTGATGCCCCGGACCAAACAGAGGTGAGAAGACCTGTCGGGTCAGTAGATCGCTCCATTTGGAGCAAGGAGGAGCGGCTGGAGTCGGAGTCTGAACCAGGGAGTCAGAAGACGGTGGCTCGCCGCGATAACGCCTCCCTGATTGCCCGGCTGCTAAAACTAGAGGGGAGCTGTTAAAATACAAAGGATCCCACCCCCAACCGTAAAGAAAAAATCATCTCTTCTAACAGAAGCAACACCACAGGACCCCACCCGCAAAAAGGCCATAGGGAAGAAGAATTCTTTAAAAGTCTTTGGACTCTGCGCTTTGGCTAGCCGCGGCCTTTCGGCGCATCAGGCTAGCTCTTTTTCCGAGCACAACCCTTCCACGTTTGTTTCGGCTACTTTATTTTTTAGGTCTCTGAATGCTTGCACGCTTTTCTTTACTCCCCCTCCCCCTCAAAAAAATCTTTTGTCTGCTGAAAAGACATTTTCCCTTTTCTTCCCCTACGAATTGGAAAAAGAAAATCAAACTAACGCTTGTCTTCTCGCCTCTTAACACCCCTTATCTTTCCTCTCCAGTGACCGACAGAGACCTTGTCAATTTCCCCTTGCTGGGCTGGTCAGTTTCAAACCATTATTCCCTCCTCTTAGTAGAATCCCTCATCATCCCCATGCTATTAAGACTTATTGGGTGAGTGGGGGGTGGGTCTCCCCACTCCAATCACCACCGAAAGAGAGTACGTAGTGCGTTTTCATGTTTTTCGCAAAATCGAAACTAATCGCGCAGGTCCCTTTTTCTCTTACGGCCTCCGCTGCAAAGATGTCTTCGCCCTCCTTGAACGCGAAAGAATCCGGCCAAGGCAAGCAATGTCGAGAACGCAGAGGGGCTGTTGGGAGCGGGGAGGGGGGTGTAATTTGGAGAGCAGACAGAAGGGTGGGGGAATAAAATAATAATAAACAAAACCGCCCTAACAAAGCTGGTTGAGGCAAAGAAAGATGTTTTGTCTACAAAGGAGAGTTCAAAAGGGCAACTGAAATTAGGCAGTCAGTAAAATACTGACACAGGATTGACTCCTTTGCAGAGATCAGCTCTGGGAAAGAACGTTTGGGGAGCAATTTTAAGTAGAAGATTGTATAAAGAGAATCAAGAGGTGGATATATTGAATGGTGATGATGGTGGTTGTTGTTGTTGTTATAATTATCATCATCATTTTGGAAAATCTGTTTCGTTTCATTGGGAGAAATTGACAGCGCAGTCCTATGTGCATCCTCCCAGGTAAGTGCGTGTAGGAATGCAGCTTTAAGTTCACACTTTGATCACTGGGATATTTTTAAGGGCTTGGTTTTGGCTTGAGCTAGACTAAAATTACTCCTTGTCACCACTGCTGTCGTTAATTGCTGCAGTGGCACTCTGCTCGGTTTTGAATTGATGAGACCGGTCAGTATTAGAAGTATTAAATAGGATTACTATTAATAATTACTAAAGTCGTTGTTGCCTCGAAAGGAGGTGGTGCTAAACCGGGTTAATCAATTGTTGGGGAGAAAAAACAAAAGAGTTCTATAGCGTCTTAAAGGTTAACCAATTTTGTCCGCGTACACTTTCTGGGTTGTATCCCACGTCGCCAGATAGCTGCCACAATAAACGGTAATATTTCAGGTGCCACAGGACTCAGTATCGTTCCTGGTGTTAATAATAATAATAATAATAATAATAATAATAACAACAACAACAACAACAACAACAATAACGGGACGACAAGGAAATTAATTATACCATCATTTTTCTGACTTCAGAAACAATATTTTCGTATATATGAGGTAGGAACTAGGGACTATACTGGGATCAATTCTCTGACCCCCCAGAAAATAAAACCGAACTTCAACCTTATTTCACAAATCACGCTGTTTCTTGTTTTGAAATACGCTCCTTTCTATGATGTAAAACCGAGTCATGTTTATTAGGGAACCGCAGCGAGGAAATAAAAGTGACGCAATGACAAATCTGTGACGCCCCGTACAATTCCAGGGTTTGCGCACATATATTAACCGAAGCGTAGGTAGGTATTGCTGCAACTGTATTTAGACTACACTCCTATTAAAATCAATGGGAATTTCCCTATTTATCCCGTAACTGGATCCCTAAAACGCGTTACATCTGTATGGCACTATATAAGAGCATTTTTCAACTCAATCTGCAATGTGTCTTTAATGGATTTCACTGTCACCAAACCATCAGTATATAATAGAGTTTCTAGGCTTCTACACATACAATCATTGATGAGGCCCATGGAATATTATCCGTAATGTTATTCGGAATAGTATCAATAGGGCCGAAGCAGATTTAATTATTCCTAACGCACCTACTTAATGGGTAGCGTTGAATTTCTCTTAGAGAACGGGGCGCGCGCGAAGGTGGAGTGGGTAGAAAGGAAACGTCATCAATCCCACAAACTTCAAGTCAACTACTCTGACTAAACGAAGCAAAAAATATAAAAAGGCTTGCACAGTATTTATGTACACTGCTTCAAAATGCATCACCTTCTCGCATTCTTCAGAACACTGTATTTCTGGGTGCGATTTTCAGAGGGCTAAAAAACTTTTGGAGCTGCCCTCTCGCCTTCTCCACAACTGAATTTATTCCTTTTCTCTATGAGCAAAACAACTGGAGGAGGATTGGCGGCTGAAACTGGGTGGTGGTGGGAAATATCCCCCGTTTTCTGCCCACGATCCCTATTTTTCTAGCTATACATCCACAATCCTGCTTGCTCCCATATCCAGCCCCTTGACCCCTGTTAACCGGCCCTCCCTCGCTCTAGTACCCTATGATCTCACATAAATCTCACGCGCACCCTTACTTCACTTTGGAACAGCCTCTACCTCGCTCCTAAAACGTAGCTTTCCTCGCACAGCAGAGGGACTGGCTTCTGATGTCCCTGATCCGCTTGGGTTCATCCAGTCACCTGGATAACTTATCACCTAACCATACAATCAGGATTTCCCCACATTTTCAAAGCATACCAGCATTCGTTTAATAGGAAATGGGGTCGAATTGTTTCCAGGCTTATTCCGGGGGGGGGTATTTTTGGTCAGGTGTCACATATTTTAGCCTACATATCCGGCGCTAAAAGTGAACACGGAACTTGTTTGTTACGGATCCTTAAGAAACCTCTTGTTCCGTTGCTTGTAACTGGGTGCTCAGAGGTCTGTTCACAGGCACCCACTATGCATTTCAGATTTCCCCTGGGTTTGCAGCGCTGGACGCCTGCTCTTCTCCCTTTAGCTTTACAGCTCCTGGATTCGGCTGTTCCCATAACCCCGAACAAAACCTTTAGCCTCTGTTCTGCGCTAAACGCTCCCCAAATTATGGGCATGTTTCCTTCCCTCTTCCAGTTTACGTGCGGCCTGATCGCCGCTCTCTCTCGCGATCTCCCCCCCGCCCCACCAGCGCGCAGGGGCGCCCATCCCCACACCAGCCCGGCCTTACCTTGTAGTTCTGCCGTGTTGTGACTGTTTTGGTGCAAGTAAGGTTGCTCCAGGGAGTGCGTGGACAAGCCCGACGAGAGCGGGTTCCCTGCCGGATTGCAAGGCGACAGAGGCTGCTGTTTGATGTAGGAAGCTCCGCTGTTCAAACCCGGCGCTGCGGAGGGCGCCCAAGCGGACGGCGCCGTGCTGGAATAGACGGAGTGGGGCTCCATCACGCCACCTCCGGGGAGCAGGGGCGAGGCGGGCACCGAGCCGTCGTGGTGACCGTAGTCCCCTCCGGCGGAGCCTCCTCCACCTCCACCTCCACAGCTCCCCATATAGGAATGGTGCGCTCCGTTGGAGGACAAGTGGGGTACGGAGTGGCCGGCCAGTCCCATGCCGTCGACGTTCATCATGCCCAGGGCGCCGCCGTCTAAGGGGAGGCTGTTTGGCGGGCAAGAGGGCCCCTGGAAGCCGTAGCTGTCCGGGAGGTGGTTGAAATTCAAGTTCATCATGCTGTACATGGGTTTGAGGGCCTGGCATTTCCGCCTGAAGCCGCGGGGCCTCCGTCGGAAGGAGCCTTCTTCGAACATGAACTCGCTGGCCGGGTCGATGGTCCAGTAGTGGCCCTTGCCCGGCCGGCCCAGCCCTTTGGGCAGCTTGATGAAGCATTCGTTGAGCGAGAGGTTGTGGCGCACCGAGTTCTTCCAGCCCTGGTACGAGCCGCGGAAGAACGGGAAGCGGCTCTGCAGGAACTGGTAGATCTCGCTCAGCGTCAGGCGCTTGGACGGCGAGCTCTGGATAGCCATGACAATCAAGGCGATGTAGGAGTAAGGCGGCTTCTCCGGCCGTCGGATGCCCGCGTTGGACTTCTTTGCTTTGGTGCCGCCGCTGCCTCCTCCTCCGCTGCCGCCCCCGCCGCTGCTGCTACTGCTGGGGGTCGAGGAGGTGGTGGACGACGCCGATTCCATGACTGCTCCCAGCTGCTGCTGCTGCGCCTTGTCGGAGGCTGTCGACATCGGAAAAGCCTCGGCCTCGGCAGGAGGAGGAGGAGGGGGTCGAGAGGAAGGAGCGCGCAGCAGTCCTGCGGTCATCGACGGCTCCCGTTCGCCGCCCCCTCCCTAAAGGACTGGCTCCTGGGCGGAACAGGGAGGGGGGTCTGAGCTCCCCCGTCCCGCTCCCAGGTCTTTCTCTCTCCTGCGCCCTTGCTTTTCCTCCAGAGAGTTGCGTAAAAGCGCTGCAAGCCGGAATGCAGAAGAAACGGAGCCGATCCCAGTCGCCTTCTCTTTCAGTCCAAGCTAAGCTGCGGGCTCCTGTCCCTGACTAAGGGGGAGTGGAGGTGGGGAGACAGAGCCAAGGCCGTGAGAGAGGGTAGAGGAGGGGACAGCTGTCCGCTGGACCCCCGGACGCGAAGCAAAGCCTCCTCTACCTGGAAAAGGCGCGTCTCCAAACCCGCCGCCACCCGCCCTTCTTCCTCACGATCCAAGCCGGCAGAGAGGCTGTGTCCCAGCCTTCTGCTCCTAATCCGGCGTTCCAAGCGGGAAAAGACTTCCTCCTCCTCCTTCTCTTTTCCCTCCTCCTCTTCGCCCTTCCCCCTTCCCCCGTTTCTCAGGCTTCGCGGGAGGCGCGGGCTTTCTCCCCCCACCCTCCCCACCCCCTGCCTGACCAGCGTTTCCTCCCAGCTCTCCCCCACCCGCCACCCCACCCGGCCTCCCAGGCTTCTGCCAGCGAGGAGTTGCTGCTGCTGCTACTGCTGCTGCTGCTTCTCAGCCCGGTGAGTCGCGGGTTCTGCCCCCAACCGGAGCGGTTGCCTTTAACTTTTATCTCAAGTCAGCGGGCGCCTGGCGGCTCTTGACAGCACGACGTAAGAGGCAGGAGGAGTCCCCGCCTCCCCTTCCCTCCCCGGCCCGCCAGGCAAGTTGCTCCCCCTCCCTCCCTCCCTCCCTCCTCCTCCCCTCCTCCTTCTTCCTAGTCTCTTTTCCGCGTCTTAGCTCAACATTGGTGGGTACTGTGTAAGGGGCTTCGCTCCAACCAAACGGAGGGATTCAATGCTGCCACCATCACCCCTCTGCCGATCCCACCTTGTCCTGATGCAGAAGAAGGATCTCCCCCCCAAAAAAATTTCTAGGCTCCACCCGAACCCGTATAATTCCTTCACATGCACACACGTGTTCACCACCTCCTCACTGGAGGACAGGGGTTTTCAATTGACCCTATGGATTCACCCCTTCCTCATCACCCCAAACCCTAAATATATGGTGTGAATATATTTGGAGTAATCTGTTTTGGGTATGCCGAGGGGATCCTAAATCCATTTACTTTACTTCGTTTATGTGTGTGTGTGTATTTTAGGCCGGGATCCTTAGGCCGTCCATCCTTTGGGAACGATCGGCGGGACTTGCTCCCGAGGTGTAAACCAGACTCGGGTCCGTCCACCTAAGTAGTCCTGAGCGCACGGAATGAATGGAGCGCCTTGTGTTTAAATCGAAGGGTGCTGCTTGGGCTTGAAGACTATCTGGGCATGATTCTGGATTAACTAGCTGCTAAATCGCTTCCCAAACTCTATTTCTCCGACGCCCACATATAAACATCCCGACGATCCTCCGCTCTTTTGGTTTCAACTGCTCTTACTTCTCCGTCCAAAGAAAATCTTTCTCTGTGTCCAGAGACTACTTTCTGCTTGTCCATTTCCAAACGTGTTGAAAGGCCACTTAGATCCTAACCTGTTTTCACACACACACACACACACCCGCCTCATTTCTTTGCTACGCAAAACCAGTTGGTAATACTCGCGAGGAAGCGATTTCCCTGTGGCCTTGTTTTGCCGACAAAAAAATAGAAAGAAATTAAGAAGTCTGTGCGCGCGCGCAGAGGAATAAACACAAACATCCCTCCCTAACAGCAAGTCGTTTGCTAGAAATTGACCAGTTAATTGAACGCATTAAAAAAAAGGACCAGCAGTTTTGTTTATACACAAATGAGACACACCAAAAATTAAAGTGATTCCCGGATCTCCCCTGCCACCAAGGGGATCTCTCTGGAAAGGCGGTAGGTTTGGAACTCACCCACTTTTAAAAATCAAGTTTCTGATTTCTTTGCGAGATAGACGCAGACAAGGGGCAGGATGTTTATACAGCGCAACGTAAACAAGTTCCCGGGCCTTTTTTAATAAAATGAAAACGTCCGGAGTTTCTTCCAGTGGCCCTCAGCTTATATTGCTGATTGTTTAGGGCTTTTCTTCCACCCACCCCATACATTCCCATTCCAAATATTTTCTTCTGTAAAAAAAACAAAACAAAAACCGTACTAGACGCCTTGGTTATTACTTGATTCTACAGATTCTCAAAGACACTCGCACGAAACGTGCTTCCTAAAAGCGTCTCCAAAAAACATCCCCAACCCACATTTAGAGAAGGGTGGGTGTCCCTCGTCCCCTCCCTATCATTTTTTTAAACATTTTTTTAAAACTCTCCGGAGAATCTTTTCATCCGCTTCCCAGCCTGCCACTCACTCATCAAGGTAAGTCACTTCCAGATTTTGTCACCCTCTTTTCCAGGCGCGCGTGGTAAATTTAGCGCAATTAAGCTGTTAAAGGGGTCTAAGTGTGGGTGAGATTGGAGGTGAGGGGGGGGCAGTTTAGCTTTCGCACTTAATCGCTGGAGTGGGGTGATGTGTGGAGAGAGAGGGGGGAAACAGATCTGCTGTTTCTTTATTCAAAAGATGGTGAGGGCCTAGAGAAGCATTTGTTTTTTCAAAGCATTATTTAAAATACACTTATAATGCTCCTTATGGAGAGAGAATTCCTGGCTGGTGGTGAGGCACGCACCCCATTCACTTCCCTCTCTTACCCCGTTTCCTTTTAAAATGCTTTTTTAAAAAAAAATTGTTGTCCCTTTTTCAAAAGAAAACTTGAGATCCCAATCTAAGATCCTTCTGGGAAGGGCGAATTGCAAGCAGACGTTAGCAGCCTATGGGGCGCCTCACACATCTGTGAGACCCAAGGAGAGCAATTTCACATCAGAAACAGTTTCTATCCTGTTTTCACTCCCTGATAAAAGAAGTCGTAGGGTGGCAAGCTTTGTGCGGTGTGTGAAGGAGAAGCTAAGAAAAAATCCAGTCTTCGCAATTGCAACAGAAATGACTCCTGCCTGGGACACACAAGCACGGATATCTCCAGATACAACGTGGGGGGTGGAAGGAAGAGGGAATGGTACATTTATGTCCCACTTCAGTCTCTTTGCAGCTAGAAGACAGAACGTGATTACCAAAGTTCACCAGCAATTTTTCCTTTCGTAAACCTTATTGAAATGAATTGAGATGGTGGTGAAGGACAGCCAGTCTCATCAAAAGGGTTTGCTGGTTTAATGCTGCAATCCTAAAGGCACTGACAACAGCTAGTGCGTCCCATCGAATTCCAAAGGTCTCTAGATAAAATGCTTTGGGCGTTTTAGGATAGGGTTTAGGATAGGATGTGTTATAAAGAGGTGGATTGCTGAGGGAGCCGATTTGATAGGAAAGGGATCGAGGAAAAATCGGTGCCCCTGCTTGCCTGTCGACCGCATTATCTCAGAAACCAACGCAATGTGCAATACAGTAAAACAGATTTTAAAAAAAGAAAACCACACTGTAGAGATAAACTCAAAGGAGAAACACTGACTTCTTCTTGTCTGCGATGAGATCGCGCTGGCTCGGAGCCCAGCAGCTTCTCCTCAGCTGCTTTGAGGATCCCCATGGCTAGGAGAGCGGTGCGCCTTTGCGCATTTATAGGGGGAAATGTTCGCACAGCGGTGAAAGGGGAAACGATCGTGATTCAAATCAGGACGTTTATACAAAGCTGTCAAAACAGACATTTCCCCAGTTATCTTAAAAGACCCACAGACTGAACCTTGTTGTTTGTTTGTTTGTTTGTTTGTTTGTTTGTTCGTTCGTTTGTTGTTTTAGCCAGAGAAAGCCAAACTGCAGAGCAATCCTATGCACGTTTACCTGGGAATAAACCCCGTTGAATACCGAGGCGGGGCCTTCAATAATAAGCAGGCACAGGTCTGCGCTGTTGGCACTGTACGCTTCTAGGGGCAGAGGCCTGCCGGCGTCTTTGCCTTATCTTTCATGTCTGAGTATAAACGGAGGGCATGGAATTCACAGCAAAGCCAAATACGACAATCATAATAAATGATTACTGTTTTAAAAGCAGCATGGAATCCACCATGTGAAAACAACCTACGTTGAACGTAGGGCCACGTTGAAAATCTATTTGGAAAGTTAGTCGTGACTAAGAAAAGCCCCACTGATTTCTGTGGGAACTGACCTAAGTCCGGATTCAAATCTATGTGTTTTCCCCTATCAGAAAACAGCACATATATTCACACACCCTTCCTTTTTGTAGCCTAGAGTTCCTTTCGCTCTTGCCCAGCAGACTAATCTCTGCTTTTATTCGCTTGGGCTATAATTAAAGTTTCCTCTTCCATTCTTCCACCGGCTCAGCAACCGGCTGGGTTCCCTGTAATATCGCATTCCTAAATGCAGCCACTCGGTAGGGGGATCGGGACCTTGATTCCACCCGAACAATGAAGGCTTCTCTACCCTTTTACCCTGAAGGCAGTCCACTTCCCACGGCTTTTTCCGGGGTCAATGTGTTTAAAGGGCACAAGGAACTGAGCCGAAATAGTCCACGTGTGTGTGTGTGTGTGTGTGTGTGTGTGTGTGTGTGTGTGTGAATATAGTGCATATATATATAGTATATATATAATAGTGCATATAAAGAGAGATCTGTAGATATATATGCTTCCTCGTAACCGCAAGACGTCATTGTGAGAAGGAACTCCGCTTTGAGGTTGTCAGAGTGGAAATGATGGGGGGACCCCAAATCTAGGCATATTTATTTGGCAGGGGCAACCCCCCCCTAGAAAATAAACGGGGCTTACTCCGAAATTTAAAACAACAACAATGTTTATGGCCCAGTTTTAGGCCGCCTGCGATGCCATCTTTAATACGCTTCATTTAAAGGAAAAACACCCGCCTCGCCCACAAAAAAACACCTCATCCTTTTTTTTTTTCAAACACGAGTGAGCACGATCCGACCACAGCTGAGCAACGGGAGAGTTCAAATGCGTTTTTACAACTCTCTCCTCATTGAAACCATTGTAACTTCGACGTACTCCTCTGGTGCTGGGCCCTGCGTTGTTCTGAATGGAGAGGGAAATCTCTAGTCTTCTGGGACAGCAACCCCACCACCACCCTCCGCCAAACACACACACACCCTGTCCTTTATTTAGAAGTGGGTCCTATTGATCTAAGTGGAATATACTTCCAAGGAAGTATCCTTGGAATAATCACTCAAAGCCCCTTAAACTCCATCATCCAAGTTGGAAGTTGGCACCCTTGGTTTCAGTGCAATTTACTTCCAGGGAAGCGTGCTTAGAATAACCATCCAGGACTTCAACACTTCAGGAGACACGAAGCCTCTCTCCAGGTGGCTGCAGGCTGCAAAGAGATAGCTCAATCCGTCACCCCAGAGAAGCTGCAACACTTGACTCTAAACTCTCTTTTTGTAGTCCTTGTTTATTTCGATGGTACGAAAACCAGGCCGATTCTTAACCACATGGAGTTGGAACTAAAATGCAGTTGCTTTAAGTGGATCTTGTAAAATCTTAACTTGGCCGAGAAGGGCAGGGGAACTTAAGATACCTTTTGGATTGGAAACTCTGCGGGGCAGGCGCCCAAGTCTTGTTTTTTTATATCCTGTTTTTCACACAGTCTAGGCAGCAATCCTAAGCACACTTCCTAAAAAAGCATTCAGACAGACTTGCTTCTGAGTAGACAGCACGATGAAAAGTGTGTGTGTGTGTGTGTGTGTGTGTGTACACCCTCTTCCAAGGTAGAATGGATTAACCCTGTTAGAAAAGTGTTGAGAAAAGGTGCTGGTATTTTATGGACTAGATTTTCCATGCGTTATTTTAAATCCTATTTGAGAACATCACTCTCCTGCCTCAAGAGTTGTCCCCAAATGCGCTCTTAAATTCAAGGGCCTTGCTTTTCCTCACAGTGATACAGAGGATGGTACCGTGTGTACCATTCGCCGCGGGCGTCCGGCGCTGTTTACAGAACGAAACCGGCTGAAACCCAAATACTCCGGCTTCACTCCTAGAGGTTCGAATCCAGAGCGGCGCGCTTTTCCTCCTGAGCCAGACCAACGGCCACCCTCCTCATTTATTACAGCTTGCTGTCCTAAGGGCGCTCCTTGGAGAGGAAGCCCCATGGAAATCAATGGGACCTGCTTCTTAGCAAGCGGGCCTGTTTCAGACCGTCTCCTGGAGCCTAGGGAGAGATAGGAGGGTCACGAATGTAGGTGAAAACGCATAGATGTACACTTTCCTTTATTTTTCCAGATGTAGGGGAAGTAACCAGCTGGAGCAATTTTATTTTTGTATATTTATCCGTCGGCGCGGGATGTCTGCAAGATCTGCAGTGGCGCTTTTTCAAAAGAGATCTTCTAGCTCGTTGGAATGGATTTGTAAAAAGATCGATCCGAGGAGTGGGGAGAAAGCGGCAAAGATTTCTATATATATACACATACAGAGAGAGAAATATATCTGCAGATAAACGTATGGCCCAAGTGTTTGCAAGCGCTGTTCCTCGCTCCGCGATATTTTTTTGTCCTAAAAAAGAATCGAAGAATTATTTCCCCACCCCGCCTCCTCCTTTTCCCCCTGCAGGTATTTTTACTAGCTAATTGCTTAAGTGAAGGAGTCTTTGCTAGAAAGAAGACGTTGGGAGCGGGGAGGCGGAGGGTGGGGAGTGTAATCCGAGGCTGGAAATGTATCTGGCTAGTATTGTCAAAAGCAGATTTTGCAGGCAAAGGAAGGACGCGAGGGGGGTTGCTTCTTTGGAAAGGGGCCCGCATGTTTATCAAAGGTCAGACCACCCACGGGGAGGACGGAGTCAGACGCGCGTCCGCACTCGCTCCGGCCTCTCTGCCCTGGTTTTCATTAACACCAGGGAGCTGGTCCCGAACGAAAAAGACGCCTCCTCCCCCCCAACCCACCCCTCAGTCTCCTCCTGGGTCCCTCCACTTACTCGTCCCCCCCACCCTCGCAAAGCGATCCCATAACCGTTTACACAAGGCCAAGGGAGGTGAGTGGCACGATCCGGCTTGACCAGTTTGCTTCATCTGCAGATTACGCGAGAGAGATATATAAAATCATATATATGGTAACATGTTCCAACTTCAAGGTGTTGACAAGGAATTGCAGTCGAGCGAGGGGAGGTGGAAGGGAGCTGGATAGATTTTTGGCAGAGCTCTCCAGAAACGCAGCATCAAGCTTTCCAACGTGGGCAGAGGAGGAGGAGGGACCTTCTCACCACCTTCCTCGGTTGTTATGATCACCCACTCTCTGTGGTTTTACCCCGGCTTCATGAACAACTGCCTGGAAGAGTGAGAACTGTCTGCATGTTCTAAATCCATCCTTGCAGGTTCTCCCTCTTCTTGCAACCCACTTTAGGTAATCCGGAGTAACCACCGC